ACAGGCTACATACCAATTACTAGTGCCAAAATCAACTTCTAACATAGTTGTAGTGCCAAAATCACCTTCTAACATAGTTGTACCAATGAAATCCAATTTCTCACCAGTAGCAGTTTTAGCTAATATTGAATTAGTGTAAAGTTCTCAAGGTGACTTAGCATGTTTATTGATCAAAGTGAAAAGATACACCTAATTGCTACACCTGAGCCAGAATTAATAATTATTTCGGTTCCAAAATTTTTGACATGTCCAGTAAATGTTACTCATTGTAATGGTTCATCATACAAACGACTATCCGAAGAAGACTGGGGATTAAACTATTTATTATCAGCTGCATCACGCCTCAAGGACGATGAATCGTGAGCAGCATTACTCAGTTTTTTTAATTTTCTCCATTTTATTTGTCGCTGCATACAGCCTCTACATGTCCTACTCTTTTACAAAGATCACAAATTGGCCTTCCGTCACTGGACCTTAAATTTCTTTCCTCGTACCTTCTACGATGAGTGCCTTTACCCCCAAATCAACGATTGGGGCGTTTGGAAACAGAGGACTCAGCAAGAGTCATGGCAAGTTTTTCAACCACACTTCTAAATGATCTATTCTTTCATTCAAATTTTGTTCCCCAGTTATGCGGCAACAGGGTTTGTGACAATAGCATTGCTTGGGTACAAAAAATTTGGCTTTACCCAGGTGGTGGATACATTTGTAATTTGCTCGTGGATTTCTTCCTTCTTTGCCAAATCCAGTGCTTGCGTGAATGTTTAGGGTCCAAAATTAATACTATACACTTTAAATCAGATCTAAGGCCATTCACAAAATGTTCATGCATCAGAGTGTCTTGATGTTCTAGGGGAATTTCAGCATATGCCCGACGGACAAGCAGTTTTATGGCCCGGCCAAAATCATCAACGGATTCAAGCTCGTTTTCCTTGCGCCAATATAAATTAGGATAATAACACCTACGAGCTTCCCTACATATAAAATGTTTCATTAATGAGGATATAAGTGTTTCAAGGTCACTTTTACCTCGTCATGCAGCTCAACATAATATTCCGCCACTCTGTCCCATAGAAATGCTGGCGAGATATTGCATTGCCTTTTTTCTGAACAGTTATTGGCTTTGGCGACCCTTTCAAAATTTCGTAGCCACTTTTCAATATATCTTCTCCCGGTTCCCCATAAAAGTTTTTTGGGTGGACAACAATTTTTTGTTAGTCTTCTTTTGATTGTGGGGGTGGGGCGATGATTTCAAGTTTATGTTCCCTCCATTTGGCGGCTCTCTTTTTACTCATTTTTGCCAAATGATTATCAGAAATGAGTTGAATTGAGTTCTATATACAAGGTATATTCAAAAGAAAAACAGCTTCAAAATGTATGTACAGTGATCACTTACGTCCCTTTAAATGGTAATCTAATATTTCGGCTGTCATTCAGTGTATTGCGAAAAGTTTGAAACTTCTCAGATTTCAAATCTCACGACAACTGTCACCAGTGTAAATTGGTTTCTATTCGAGTATGTTTCTATTCAGGTTTTGTAGCTACTTTTTGTTGTGTTGCTGTTTTGAAATGTCATTGTTGATTGTGTATATTATCGTCTGTCTGTTTGTGATTTCTGCGTCATGGCGAATACACATGTTCAAAATTCGGGCCATTTCCTCGCTACACTTGCACGGCCAAGATACCTGGGGTTTGCATGGGTTTGCACTGATTGCAACAAAAAATTTCCTATAAAAAATATGATTATAAATGTGCAGTATTGAAAATTTCTTAAAATAGGCCCTGAAAGGAGACATCAGTTCACCAGTAAAAAGAGATAATGAGCTATGTTTAGCTCGCCTGGCATCATTAAGGACAAGACTTAAATCTGATGTAGCACTGTTGAAATAATAGGGTCATATTTTCAAGGAGCAATTAGATGCTGGTATAATTAAAAGGGTGCCCCCTGCAGAGGAAAATGCTATGAACGCCTACTTTATTGTGCATCATTGTGTGGTAAGAAAAGATCATTGAAGGCAGTCCATCCCCTCAATGATTGGCTATTAAGAACTATTGGTCTGCCCACTTGAACGGATTACAACATTTGAAACTGCGAGAAAAAAGCTATCAGTAATGGCAAGAAGATTAAGTTGTTTGAATTGAATGATGATACTGGAAGCATTACCTTTTGGTGTTGACATATCTGTCACACAAACCAAACAGGGAAAACAACTTTTCTAGCCACAGCTTTGATTCAAAAGCTCTTGAATTAAAGTTGTCTCTGATTGGTTTGAGTTGTTTAATTATCAATCAAGCTCAACGATGCGTGAATTTCACTCCTGAGAAAAGAAAGTTGAGCACAATAGGGGACAGACTCCCTTCAAATGATTGATTACAGAGGGGAGATAAATTGATGCTATTGATTTTTGATTAAGTACTTCGTTTTTGTACTCATCCTATTGTAATGACTGCTGATATCGAGAAAAAGCATTTTTACAAATTGGAATAGATAAGCAAGACCATGATTTTTTAAAATTTTTATGGGTCGACGATGTTGACAAGGAAAATCCTGCCATAGTTCAGCTAAGGTTGGCACGTCTACCCTTCGGATTATAACCCAGTCCAGCTATTTTAGGAGCTACAATAAGAAAGCGCATAGCACAGTTTTAGGAAAGTGGGCGTAATATTTGCAAGATTCTGGGCCAGTTATATGTTGATGATAAGTGTTGTGGGGCAGAATCCTAGGCAGAGGCACTATAAATCTGTTGGAAGATGAGGATACTTTAAATCAAATCAAGAGGGGGTTTCAACCTATGTAAATGGCAGTGTAATTAATCAGCATTGCGTGCTAAAATACATGAATTAGAATCGAAGGAATCGGCTAAACTAGATAAAGAGAACTCAAATATTTCACATGACGACCAAACGTGTGCAAAATTTGTAAATAGCTTACCTATAGGCAGCAGTACTTCTAAGGTATTAGGGGTCAACTGGGATTTTAAGGTCAGATCAATTTTATTATGATGTGCAGCAAATAACAGATCTAGCAGCTGAGCTACCCCCTACGAAAAGGCCTTTGTTAAAAGTAGCTGCAAAAGTATTTGACTCCATAGGCTATTTGGTTATGTTTACCGTCAACCTAAAAATCTTGTTTCAGGATTTGTGTGTGGCAAAGATCCCAAAAAATTAGAAGGCACAGAGAAATAACTATATGATACGTTAATGGAAGATCTTTGTATGTCACAAGAGGTAGCAGTTCAGAAATGTATACGCCTTAAGAACAAGAAAACACATAGTTATCAAATACACGCTTTTTTGGATGCCAGCAAACAGGGATATGCAAGATTTGTTTACTTTCACACACTGGAGGAATCTGGGAAAATTGGCGTTAAGTTAATTTTAGCAAAGGCTAAGGTTTGTCCAATTTCAGGAAAAACAATTCCCAAATTAGAATTTCTTGGAGTGCATTTGATGGTTTCCTTCGTCAAGTCAATAAAACTGGTTCTCATTAAAAATTAGATGTAAATGATATTGATACATATTACTGGGTGGATTCTGCTGTCACCCTCTCTTGGATTCGTAATGAGAAGCCTTGGAAGCCATTTGTTCGAAATAGGATCAGGAATTGGAAAACACTATTGCCATGAATGAGAAAACAAGTGATTATTACCTAACCGGAGTGATCGTAAGAGAGAATTGTCAAAAATTCAAACGGAGAAAGATTTTCACACATAATTATGCAAAATAAAATGAAGCTAACTTCAAGGAAGATCTCAAGAGTACCCAATCGGAACAGGTTTATGCTGAAAGAGATATAAGTACCGCCTGGGATAAATTCAAACAATTCCGCAAGAGTATAGTTGACAAACATGTACCTATTGTGAAAAGAACAATCTGGAGCCGGGAATGTCCATGGCTTTCTCATGATATCAAGTTGAAAATAAAGGAAAGAGAATATCATTTGAAAAAAGTGCGACAGACAGGTAAAGAGGTTTATTGATCCGTGTATTGCTGCTTTAGAAACGCTGTAACGAGACTGATGAGAAAAAGCAAAGCTTCTCACACAAGAGTTCTGTTTAGGGAAAGTATTAACAAGCCGAAAGATTTTTTGAAACAATATACAGTTTGACGAATACAAGAACACTAAGGCAGTACTGAAATTTACAAGGGACGAACACACTGAAAGGCTCAAAACCCAGTTACCATCTCAAGGCTTCATTATTTCATTCCTGCTTGAGCATTCCTATACAAAGTTTGCCTCGCTTTGGTCTGCAGCTCAGAGTAAACTTTCAAAAAACATCTTCAACTTTACGATAAGGTACCTCAACAACACACTAGCCACAAGGAACAACCTCTGCTAATGGAAAATTAGCTCTTCGCCAGTTTGCTTGTTCTGTCTTCAGCCTGGATCATTTCTTCAGATTGTAGCTGGATGCAACAAATACCTTGAGCAAGGGCGTTTTACTTGGAGGCACGACTCTGCAATGCACTTCATTGCATCATCCTTTTATTGTATCCGAGATGTATTCATCTATGCTGACATTCCTGCTTTCTAATCACAGTGTATCATAACTGGCGATTCATTCTGTCCTGACATTCTAATCAAAACTGCTTCCAACTGTCTGTATGTCATCGAATTAACTGTTGGGTTCGAGACTAACCTTAATAAAACGCTGCCCGTAAAGCTGAGAAGTACTGTTCCCTGCTAAAGGAACTGTGCCTAAAGCTGAATTCACACTGGACGCGTCACGGCGCAGCACGTCACTGAGCATCATCGAGTGTCACGTCAAGTACTTTTTCATGCTATTCACACACAAATCGCCACGAAGCGTCGAGTCATGCGTTTTTAGTTAGATAAAATGGCTTCCTATCAGCAAGATGTGCTAATTGCTCTCGCATTACAAAACCAAGCTATTGCTTTAACGTTATTAAGAGAAAGAAAGAAACGGCGTTCGGTTTAGGTAAGGAAGTTATGGAAGGAGCGTGAACGTCAGGGGCATTATGATAACCTGATTCAAGAAATGAGGGTACAAGACCATTCAATGTACTTCAATTATTTCCAAATGCTTCCTTCGACATTCGATGATTTGCTTGGACTTGTAGGCCCATCTTTGGTCAGAAAGACAACAAACTTAGGGAAGCTGTTGCCTCCACAGTTAAGAATGGCAGTAGCTTCACGATACCTGGCAACTGGAGAATCTCAAGCTTCACTTTCATTCAATTACAGAATCGGGAGGTCTACAGTATGCCAAATACTTGACGAGGTGCCAGAAAAAATTTTGGAAGCACTGAGCCCTCTTTCTGTGGCCCAACCAAACACTCCTGAAAACTGGAAACGCCTGGCTGACGACTTTTGGAATTTGTGGGGTTTTCCTTTGTTTTTGGGGGCTTTAGATGGCAAGCACTGCGTAATTAACTGTCCTCCAAACTCAGGCAGTGCTTTCTTTAACTATCAAGGTACATTCAGTATAGTATTTATGGCAGTGGTTGATGGGAGTTATATGTTCACATTCGTTGACATTGGTGACTTTGGACGTCAATGTGACTCTAGCGTCTTCAATAATTCTCCTTTTGGTGAATCTTTGAATAAAGGACGCTTGAATATTCCAGTTCATGGTCACTTGCCAAACACTGATACAAAAGTATTGTTTTATTTGAGAGCTTTTCCTCTCAAAGATAATTTACTGCGTCTTTAACCTGGAAGAAACCTTGAAGAGAAATTACGCATCTTCAACTACCGACTCTCTCGAGCTAGGAGAGTGGTCAAGAACGCTTTTGGGATCCTTTCAGCAAGATGGCGATTCCTAAGATCACCAATACAGGGTCACCCAGAAAAAGCCATTAAAAATGTTTTGGCATCGGTTGCTCTTCACAACTGGCTCAAGAAACATGAAGACACGCAGCAAGTTTACGGTCGTTTTTACTGCCCAGTAGGTTATACTGACTACGAAGATTCACATGGAATTCTTCACAAGGGCACTTGGCGAAATGAAGTGTCAGAATCTGGAGCTCTACAGAATATTGGCAAAATGGGAACAAATAACTATTCAAAAGCTGCAGAATATTATAGATCTTTGCTTGCAGATTATTTTCTTTCTCCTCAAGGTGAACTCCCATGGCAATATGATTATATTTGCAGAACTTCTTACGATCCAGATGGTCAAGTTTCTAGAAATTAATCGATTTTTCTGAAAGAAGTTCTGCAACGTTTTATGTTGAGGGGCCTTCTTAATTTAAAATTCAACTTTCTTGGATGAAAGGGTGTTACATATATAGAGGGGGTTGAGGGGCCTATGACATCTTTCAGATTAGGGACCCTTCTTCCAAAGAGCTATTTGTTAGATAGAACGATTGGCTAGTCGTGATGGGCATCATTTCCTTTTTTTCTTGCATTTTAAAGGGGATTGGCTCCTCTCTTTTGCTAGCTGATGAAATGAACTGATTGGTGTTTTCAATCACCTTCATCAAAAACTGGCTGTTGTCAGGGGTCTTTTCTTGTCTGGGGCGTTTGGGGTTTTTTGGTCGGGTACTTTCTCGTAGAAAGTCCAACTGAGCCACAGGAGATCCAGCTGCAGTTCTATCATTTTTAGGCACAGCACTCTCGTAGGAAAGCGGAGAGGCTGGTAATTCTACAAAAGAATCCTCTGTGCAATCTTGGGTAACGGTACTATCCGAAATTTGAAATGCTGGCTCGTTACCTTTTCTTGCTTCCCAAATCAAATCATGGAGACATTTGGTATCAATGGTGCTTTTGATTTTTGATGATTCTTGGTGGCCTTCCCGCTCTTGAAGAACAAAATTTCCCCTTGTTTCTCTATGTTTCATAAAGGGGGCAAGGAACAGGAACTGCTTGAAGAATGGTCATGTTGGTTCTATTGGTTCCCCACCAGCGCTCCCAGATGGCTTGTATTCCTTTCTCACTTTCATAAATCTGTCCCTTAAGCTTTTAAATGTTTTCCGAGCAAGGTTCATATCTAAGAAAAAACAGTGTGTCAATGATGGATACTTTCAACTAGATATATTTTATAAGAACTATCCTATCACTTGATTGAAGCAAAACTTTTTTTAAAATTGCCGCTCAAAATTAAAAATATTTTCCTTCGTTTGAGATATAATATTGCTTAAAGATGAGCATTGACTTTCAAAATTGACGAACTTGTTTAAAAAAACAGGTTTTCAAGTAATCAAAATTCTGTTGAGTAAAAAAACATCAAGAAAATACAAACCTTCGCCGAGTTCTTTTGCACTTTCATACCGTTCTTTAAAAATTTCTTGGCACACTGTCTTCCGGGCATTCTCTCGGACAATCTCATCCTTGTACTCTTTTTTGCTAGTATCGTACAAGCACGGTAATTTCCGAACAGCTTCAATCAGAAGTTCTTTGTTTATGTTTTTAGCTGCCATCTTTCTTGACTTTACTATTGTTCTGGAGCGTCACCGAGCGTCAAAGTTAAATTTATTTATTTAAATTTATTTAACTTTGACTGAAAAAACGCAATGCGTGCGCATTGCAGCAATTAATGCAAACCATATTTGGTCAGCGTCATGACGTGCCACGCCATGACGCGTCCAGTGTGAATTCAGCTTAAGTACAAGCATCAAAACAGGGCCGCAAGCTTGATACATGGTTGTATAGACTACACACTTTTTTATAAGAACCAGTTAATTTACGTTTACGTGGACTGTTCTTAATTTTTTATAAAATCTTATTATGGATTGTTCTTTATTTGTTCTTAAATTGACAGGGTATAAGCAGCAAAATTGCTAGCTTTTCAATCTAGGAAGGTGTCCAGGCCTCATTTGCCAAAAAAGTGCATGAGAAAACCTTCATTTGCGGCCATGTTTGAATATTCACTGTAAAAGTACCGTGTATTTCAGCCTCCACTGTAAATTAGCATCATACTCTTAGCATGAAGAGTTTGCTATCAAATTATTACCTTGAAAAAATCCTGTCATCTGATTTTAGCCATAGCTGGCGGCAATTACAGTGTACTTGAATCTCAATGGTTCTTGCTTTGCAACGTTTTAATGCAGCCAGTGCTGATGCAAATGGTGACAACTTGTTTCGTAGCAAGAATTGTAACAGATGTGAGCACAGTCTGACTTGGTCATATCTGACGAGGGAAAGTCATCTCCAAGGAGGATGCTTTGGACGAATGCTATGCTGAAAAAACACCGCAATCAATTCCTTTACTTTGTTGCTGAACAGAAGCAATTTTTACTTCGATGATATCAGATGGGCATTTCATTATTCGACAGATTTGATGCTTGACCTTTTGTGTTATAATACCTGACAAAAGGCTGTCCAATAAAAATACTTCTCCCTCCTGACAACCATATGTGCTTAGTGCCAACCAATGAAATCTGCCATCATGGATGATCTGGACAAAAGGTGTATTTGGCATGGATTTGAATTTAAAGTTTTGTTCCAAAACTTTGTCTTGCAATCCTCATACGTTTTGGATATCTCTACCAAGCATTTTTTGAAAAACATTAATGACATTGTCGTTTAGCGTTCTGTTTTCAGAAAGGCAGATAGATCCTTTTGTGTGAGATTGCAACGTAGAGGATCGCCCATAAAAGACTTCTCATTATGACTCAGTGTAGTTTTAACACTGTCATCGGTTTGAGCAGATGATCTTTCAGAAGGGTCCTCTACTGTTGCAGCACAATTTTTTACTGTTGAAACGAACGTTGTTACCCGATCCATGTTGATAACATCAACTACTCCTTCCTCAGTAATAGGAATAATTTCACAGCGAAATGACTGATGCAAACATCCAAAGACATTCTCATTAACAATAACGAACCACAAACACGATGCATGACAGACAAAACTAGTTGTATAACAATATCCAAGCAACAAGCATCAAGGACAACAATAAACTATGAACAGCCCCCATATATGCATCACACTTGCCAAAACGAGTAAAAGAAGCACATTTGACGCCTTAGCAAAGAAATGTATCCTGTTGAGATAATCCTTTAAACTGAAGTTATTCAAATGAAGTCACTCAATTTATGATCATAGATTTTGCAAGCAGACAAGTCACAAATGTCCTTAACGATTTTGCTACGAGTGAGATACAGCTCTTTTCTCGAAGTTTTTCATTAAATCTTCTCCATTTATGTTTGACTAAATTTATCACCTTCAAAGTCTGGTGCTACATACAGCCCGAATATTGAGTGAGCTTTTCTACAAGGTGAAATTTAGAAAACTAAAACCAATATTCTGAATCTAAAACATTTGCATATACTGCAATTGTCTAAAACGCGTCTGTTTCTCACATTCTTTGAGAATTTTTTACTTTCCCAGCAATCTATCAATCACAGCGATTCAACAAACCTTTTCCGGCTCCACATTCCATAGCTAATGATTCTTTGCCAGCTAATTCCATGAGAGTATGGCTTCCTTCACTTGCACAAAACCCTGGAGATTCCATCTGACCATCACCTGCAACTACTAATGTTGTGCTTTGTTTGCCACTCTTTCCATATCAATTATACCTAATGCACATGTGACTACTACCAATGCTTTACCTACATAAACTCTACTTATTTTCCCTATAAATCCCTACATTTGAAAAAAAATACTCACCATTTAAAGTTCTGCCCTTCAAGGCCTAATCGTTCAAAAAATGAGGGTGATTGTTTTCTTTAAGACTATATCCCCGGGTATTATTCACTCATATAATAGCTTATATATGGTTGCCAAAAGCTTTCAGAGGGTGATGAGCTAAACAAGCATAAAAAATTTGCTTCAAGGGATTATAAACAAGGAAGAGTTTCTTGCCTTGGAAAATAAGTTCCTGATTTTCTCGACAATTTCAAAATTTGTTGGAAATCTTTCGCTGACTCTGACAATGGCTCCAATTGTCCTCACAGCTAACCGACTATGTAACTTGGTTTTGAGAATTTTCTTCCAACCACTGCTGTCCTTTGTGGCAAGGCAGTTATCTGGAGCATAAAGTTACCAAGAACTTCATAAGTTGTTATTTTGCTGACAGCCCTCCAAAACTCTTCTATTAATTTAGTTCCCCAGCCACTGCGTAGCACCTCCTCATCAATGAAAATGGATCGCCATTGGCGATCAATAACTTGCCAAGTTTTGTCAGCCAGTTGAGGACGACTTTTAGCTAGAACTGATGCTGAATCCAATGATGCCTTCCCATCAATTATTGCAGACGGATGGCGGTTTTGTGATCTGACCATAAAATTTGCACAAAACATTCAAATGACGCATTCTACTTCAGGCAGGAACCTTTGAAATTTGAATTCGTTGGATTGAAACATAACATTTAATCCATTGTAGTCACCCAGCACAAAATCCATGAATTTAAGGTTGCTTTTTTGTACGGAGCCTTCAGAGAATGCAATATTCGTTCACCCTGTGGTGCTTTTGATTTAAATGCTTCTGTTGTGAAAAACATTTTTTATGCATTCCAAACTTTGGTCACACATGCAGACAAGGATAACTATCGAGTTTGGCAAAGCTTTAAAAGTTTGTGGGGCTCACAATGAAAGTAATGCTGGAACTCTTCAAAGCTTGTCTTTTTTGTTTAGGGAGTTGATCTGTTTGAAACTGTTTCTGTTTAGGGCTTTGGAGAGTTCCTGTCTTAGTGTCTTTTAGTTGTAATAAATTACCTGTGGATCAAGTTTCCTGCTTCAAGACTGAGTGTAGAAAATATAGCAGCTATTTCGCTTTCTGCATTTTTTAAAGATGATGTGGTATCTACAACTTGAATTTCGAAGCTATCTTTTTTTGGTTGTCTAAGTCATGCAGCATAACCCTCGACTGAAATATCGTATTTACATTCTCTTTTGTTTTTGGACAAATGGTTTCTTACAAGTCTGTCATACGATAAAATAGTTCTAGACGACAAGACATTTGACAGGGTGCCCCATTCAATGCATCCATCCCCTAAATCATTGAAGGGAGCAATTTGAACATAACTTTTGCCGCTGCCCCACATATTATTAAGTTTACAAATTGGGTTCAATCCGCCTAGACTAGGAAAATGATGGCGCAAGATATCCAATGCAGCACTAATGACAGAGCAACACAAGGGTAAACCTGATTCAATTTGATTTAGAATAATTTCACTTTTGCAACTTTTCCACTATAGCCTCTGGATTTTCAATATTACTGCTACTCGGTGTGGTATCAAACGAGAGAATATTTGCTGCAAAATCTATTACCACATTATGACTATCAATAACTTTACCTCAGTTAAGATCATCATAAGATATTACAATAGCATTGTCAAAATCAAGGGGTTCCTTGACGTCTAATGGAAAAAGATCATCAATAGGCCCTTCTTTATCTTCAGGTTCGATATCACTTGTTTTAGAGATATTGATATTTTGCAGACACCTCTTCTTTAGCTGGGTTTCAAAACTTTTGTTTGAATATGAGGAAAGATTCTGGCGATTGCCGTCCTGTACAAACCGTTGATAAATTCTTTATAGTCAGGTTTTGATGTTTGGTCTTCCTTAGAAAATGAAACTTCCTCAAACCATCAAACCATGGGATTGGATCTATGGATGCTGTCTCAAGGAAGGATCTGTCAACAGAATCGTCTGAGCTTTGATCGTCATGAACTTAGTCCTCTTCTCTCGAATGGGCAAGAATTGCAGGACCAAATTTGTCGTATTTAGCAACAAGTCTCGTTCTTTTCTCCATTTCACAAATAACTTGCCAGTTCCAGTTTGTCAAATCAATGATTAAGCGTAACATAAATATATGATTAGATGGAGACATTTTATTGAGAAAGTATCTGTTTAGGTTGAACGAGCCATGAATTTGTTCTGCAACTTGACTATTAATTTGACCATAGAGCCCATTGATGCAACCTATCCTCTGCAGTACCTCAACTTCATTAGAGCTGTTTCCCTCATGGAGTCGGTCAAAAAGGGCAAAATGTTACGCACTATCGATGATTGGGTGACAGTTAGCATCTGCATCTTTTCCTAGCTTTGAGAATGAATTAATCAAAGGAAATGATAGCTGTAGGTCTCCTTCATTTGCCTTTTGGACATTCTCCTCAGACATCTCTCTAAATTCCACCTCAACATTTTCATCATCCCTATGAACTTTAAGGTGCTTGGAATTATAAATTATATTTCCTATCCCACTCTTTCTACCCATAAAAAGTGGCCAATATGACAGATTCGGGCCCACTTTTAGAGAGTCTAGTTTTATTGAACAAAACCCCCTGCTCATCATCTCCATCGCAACGTTATTCCAAAAATTTTGACAATCAACTTCATCCACATCATCTTCATTCAAATCATTTTCTGTAGGAGAAGTATACTTAAATGCAACTTTATGATTAACATCAGCAATCGAGATAAAAACCACATATCATGCAGTTAAACTTGTAACATTCGCTAAGGCATTCTAAATGCAAAGAGGAAATCAAAATGAAGTTGCTATCGATCTTGGTCTTCAATACAGCCTCTGCCACAGCACATATTTGCACACATACTTGGATTTTTACCCTTTCAGTTTAGACCACTAGATAGACTCTTGTAAAAAACTATACATCGAGACCGTATAAGTATGTTCATATATTTGCTGTTATAGACCGACAAATGTATATGATTTTGGTCTTTCTAAGCAACCACTAATGGATGATTATACAAATCACAACCGTGTTCTAACTCAATGCACGTGCTAACTGTTTCCTCAGACAAAACTCTATACTTTCCACTGAAAGCCAATTGAAATAGTTTGTATTCACTCAATGTAAACTGTTGTGGATAGAAAGCATTATTAACTAGCGTCAAATGACTGCATTCCCTTCCGTTCATGCCTGACCACGCAGCAGTCGTCATCTCTTCTCGACACCTTTCATCTTCACAATCGATTAATCCACTTTGAAGTAATTTTTGTACATGCAAAGGATGACCCACATCCTCATGGGATGACTTTCTAATCATGTAAAAACCTTTGTGTTTATCACAAAAAACTGCAGTGTATGTATATTCTTGGCTATGCCATCTTTTATAATGAAGATTTCTATTCTTTTTGGTAACCTTTCTTTTGCAAATATCACATTCTACATGCTCGATGTTTAGTTGTCTTCTAGAAACAATGGTTTTCTCTTCTAACGGCTGCTTGTCCTTTTTAGATGATAGTTTCTTCAAACCAATAGCATCTTTGTTGAGGGAATTCTTTTTGGAGATTGATAATGTTTTTCTGATTGATTTTGTAATCTACATTTCCTTTGTATAGTTGCAAAACATTCTGTGCAGTTGTAATGCATTTTGCCTTCCTTAGCCTTTGGTTGTTTTTTCTATTCATTTGTAGTTAGAAATCAGATACATTGTGTGTTATGAAGGTGTTTAATTGAGTAACTTTCGGGTTGCTGTCTTTTGCCCCTCAGACATTTCAGTAAAAGAACAGGGTGTTGAGGAAATGCAGTCAACTTAAGGAACTATCAAGGAACTTTAAGTACTACAGTTTGGTAAAAAAATGGTCCAAAAATAAGGAACTTCAAGAACTAGGCCATGTGTTAGGTCCCTTATAAGAAACATGCACCTTATTTTATGAAATACATATATCAATTGATGGAAAAGATAAAGAAAATTAGAAAGGAAAATTAGAAATGTATCTACCTAAAATCTTGCATTACTGCTTCTTCTCTGTTTCCTTCGATGTTGTTTGGTCTTCTGCTTGTATTAATTAGCGAAGTATGTGTGTCTGCACTGCGCTGCATTGGCAAGAATGGCCTCAAAGTCCTGACGGCTGGTGGTACAGCATTTTTGACGGTGTTTGCTGAACTAGAACCATGTTGCTCCAGACGCTCTATGCATTCAATGGCATCTTTTAGTGCGGATTTTATATCTTTACCTTTCTCCATGATATTATATGTGTATCTTTATCTATCAAAACAGGTTGAAAATCGGGTGTTGTAAATGTAATTTAAAACTTCAACGTCAATTCCCCTTAGTTGCAAGATTAGCATTAAGCTGCTTATCAAAAATAATTTCAAGACCCTTCTCCTCCTCTTCCTCACCTCTTCTCTTCCTCTTCCTCACCTTTTTTCCTCTTCCTCACTTCTTTGTGATGATATAAAACAATTATTTACAGCTACTGCGACTCTGCAGATGAAATTTGCAATATTTTCAATGCTTCAGTCTACGATGTGGATTCTTAGACACATCAGTTTGCAAGGATTCCAGGTTTTCCTTCTTTTTTATCAACTCATTGACTTTGGATGCTCTTAGGACGAATTCGTCAACAATTTTTGTTGCAATCTCCACCAGGTATTGACTCTTTTCTATTCTTTTACCGTTTTCATTAACAGGCAATACCTTAGCAGGTTTCCCATCTATTGATGACATCTCCATGATATGCAAAGCAGATAAAATAACACATGCCTTTATTGCTAATGCAAGGAATGTCTTGCAAGGATTCACATGGTGCTTAACATCAGATGAAACATTTCTTCTGTCAATAAGGTTTCGGTCTCTATACAAAGTGCACTTGTCCTTTGCGGATGTAGGGTGGTAAAAGGCACTGAATATGCGTTAGAAGTATAAGAAAGTTTTAAGGAATTTGTTTACATAAAAGTTATGAAGTAAATTATCTACAATAGAAATCATTTGAAGATTGATAATGTTTTTCTGATTGACTTTGTAATCTCATTTCCTTTGTATAGTTGCGAAACATTCTGTGCAGTTGTAATGCATTTTGCCTTCCTTAGCCTTAGGTTGTTTTTTTTCTATTCATTTGTAGTTAAAATCAGATACATTGTGTTTTATGAAGGTGTTTAATTGAGTAACTTTCGGGTTGCTGTCTTTTGCGCCTCAGACATTTCAGTAAAAGAACAGGGTGTTGAGGAAATGCAGTCAACTTAAGGAACTATCAAGGAACTTTAAGTACTACAGTTTGATAAAAAAAATGGTCCAAAAATAAGGAACTTCAAGAACTAGGCCATGTGTTAGGTCCCTTATAAGAAACATGCACCTTATTTTATGAAATACATATATCAATTGATGGAAAAGATAAAGAAAATAAGAAAGGAAAATTAGAAATGTATCTACCTAAAATCTAGCATTACTGCTTCTTCTCTGTTTCCTTCGATGTTGTTTGGTCTTCTGCTTGTATTAATTAGCGAAGTATGTGTGTCTGCACTGCGCTGCATTGGCAAGAATGGCCTCAAAGTCCTGACGGCTGGTGGTACAGCATTTTTGACGGTGTTTGCTGAACTAGAACCATGTTGCTCCAGACGCTCTATGCATTCAATGGCATCTTTTAGTGCGGATTTTATATCTTTACCTTTCTCCATGATATTATATGTGTATCTTTATCTACCAAAATAGGTTGAAAATCGGGTGTTGTAAATATAATTTAAAACTTCAACAATAAAACAATTATTTACAGCTACTGCGACAATTATTTACAGCTACTGGAGATGAAATTTGCAATATTTTCAATGCTTCAGTCTACTATGTGCATTCTTAGACACATCAGTTTGCAAGGATTCCAGGTTATTTTTGTCTTAACTCTTTTAGATGCAGTTAGGGCTGTTAAAAGCAATCATAAAGAAATTCTGTCTGATAGAGAAAGATGGTTCACTATAGTGCATACAATTGTTTTGAGGACAGTAGGAAAAGAAAATCGCGCGGAAGCCGGACGGCTGCTGCTGAAAACGCTTCTGATATTTCTGATGGGCCTAGCCAGCCAAGACAGAAAAGTAAAACTCTTTTTAAATTCCCCTCTGATCCTTCCTTGCAAAAAGTTTGGATCGCAAAGATGGGTCTTCTGAATTTGGAATTAAAGACACATTCTAGATTGTGCCAGGATCATTTTGAGGAGGACCAGTTCGAAGTGGGACCAAAATTCATAGCTTCCCTAGGACTCGAAGGAATCAAACATCCTTCCTTGAAGCCCGATGCCGTACCTACCATTTTTTATAAGGGATCTCCGAAAGGGAGATGGCAAGTCAAAGGAAAAAGGAGCTTTAAAAGGAGGACAGTTGTCAAGCCAATTACATCGAGATTTCAATCGCCGCTCTCTTTGGAGTCTCCAAGCCCGAAGAAACTTGGCCAAAAGAAGCGGTATAGGGGCTTTGCGAAGCGACGCAGACTAGAGGTTCGTAAGACAAGTGAAAATTATTTTTAATTCTACATGATAGTATTAGGACTAAAGAGATTACTTTTACTAATAAAATCAAAAGCTGGCTGTTTTTAAAAGTTTGAAAAATTTTGTTTTTTTAAGTTTTTGATATAATTTTCAGATGATAGCTGAATTGGTCAAAAGAGAGGAAGCAACGGCAAACCATGACCATGGCAAACAAACAAGCATAGTGCTCATGTCTGATGCAGGAATTGACCCAGCTGAAAGTTGGGAGTAGAAGATGAAATCAGGCATAATTCTACCCAGCAGATGTCTCCTGCAAATGAACTTTTTATGGCATCAAATGCTGAGACACAGATTCCAATCGTTTGGAATTTTAAGGGCACACAATTTTAACTGGATAAAGCGCAATGGTTTCAGATGAGTTTTGCACAGAAAGAAAACTATAGAAACAAAGTTTTCATGTTTAATGCCAAAAAGAGAAAAATGTCACCTTGTCAAAGGTACGAGGACATAGACTTCCGTGTCCCAACAATTTCTGCCCTAAGGCTTAGAGGAATCTGGGAAAACTGCAGTATTAATGGAGACTGAAAAAGTCATTCCACTGGAAAATGGGAATTTCAAGATAAAGTATTCCATATCGAGCAAATGTCACAGCAACGGTATTATTGTTCTTGCAAATCGTTTAAAGAAAATGGAATGCTATGCGAGCATATAGAAGTCGTTTGTGATAATCACAAAAAACTTTACAGCTATCTTAAAATTTAAAAAAGCAAGGCAACAAGCCTTTCCAAATGCTATTTAAAAATAGTCCTGAAAGTGCCGGTCTCAAACCAGGCTCAAAAAAGCAGCGCGGAAAAAATAATGTGGCAAAGGAGCCAATAATTGAGCTAATCGATGAGCTGGATATAAGTCATCAACGACCCGCCAAGTTCATGGAACACTACCACAATGATGAGCCATTTCAAATCGGCTTTATAAAAGACTACAAAAGAGCAGTGGCTTGCAAAGGTTGCGAAAATGCATTTCCCAGAGCATTTCTCACAATACCATTTGACATTTTAGTGATTCACAGGGAACGATATCAGTACCCTATCAAAGACGAAGAGGGAAGAGTCTTGAGAATGGAGCTAACAACGAAGATGATGGGAAACCAATTTTACTGCGTAAGGAAAGAATGTATTTTAAAACAAAACCCCTACTTTTGGAAAGTTAGGCTACAAACGGCCAACAGCGTAAAAGAGCACCTTACGCAAAGCCATATCCAATTCTTGAAAAACAATGTCTGGCTAAGAGCCTTGAATTCACTCCAACATTATAATAAAGAACAATTAATGCTTTTCATTTTATTTTAACAGCTGTTTTTGTCTTGATCTATCAATTATGCTAACATGCTGTCCCGCTGAAAAATCCACTCACATTTTATTTCAATCCTGAAAGTAGATTTTGACTTATTGTAGCACTTTTCTAAAATTGTCCGAATTTCATTTCAGATGGGCAAGTTTCCTTTAAAAACCATTCATACAGGTGAAAATCAATGCCCCCAACACAAATTTCATGGTTTCGATTCGATCTTGCAAGCAGTTTTAGAGATATGGAGATCGTTTTGTTTGTTTCTTTAAAAATCACTTTTCATTTCGTTTCGTTTCGTCAAATATGATAAGCCGTCCAGCTACAACTGCTGGTGCTTCAGCTACCATTTTGTGACTTTGTTTTGCATTCTCCCAAAGGACCACCATCAGTTCAGAGGATTCCATGTGACAAACAATTTCAGGAGAAGTTGAGAGTCAGCTTGTCTTCCTTCTGGCACAAAGTCTTCATACCTGAGTACTTTTAGATGCGTGTTTCAAGAAGACTTCATGCATTTATTGTTTAGTTTTTGGATAGAGAGAAAATATTTTTTAATTGCACAATTGTAGCAGTACGAAATTCCTACTATAAGTGGTAGAAACTCAGCTCTTTATTGGCAGATTCACGATTTTGTGAACAACAGCAGACAATATCATAAGGTATTATTGACAAGCTTCAAGAGTATTTATTTCCAATGGCTCAAGCCCCCTAGCCCCCATAAGCCTACCTTGAATGCAAGATTCGTTATATGCAACTTAGAATTTTGGTCAAATCCTAAGTTGCTTATTTAGTTAATGGTTGCTTTGTTTTAATTAAACATTTTCCACTAATTGCCTAACACAAATGGAAACCAAGAAATGATATATTTTGAGGATATATATAAGTAGAGACAGTCAATTCATTCTCTTAAAAAGTTATGTTTAAACTTGTATCTTTCTATCTATTTCAATCTACTTCTGTTCCTTGTTACGATCGTGTATCTGAATACCATAAAATCCCAAATATAAACCATGAACTTTTAAAGGTTCTTATAAGTCTCTTGCGGGTTTATCTCTGGGGGATGGGGGCTTACCTCAGGGAGGACTATTGGGGTAACAGATGACTTGCATGTGCCATAAAATCATAATTTGGCTTCCAATCAAGGAGATTTACACCAACATACTCTTGGGTGCCTAATAGACTGGGGGGTTGGAATAGTTGGAGGGCTGGAAAAATCTCCAAACCTAATTAGCAGGGGTGGGGGGGGTAGAATAAGCTGGGGGTTGGAAAATTCCCTTAAATTTAATAACATTTGGGGCATGGACAATTTTTTAAACAGTTCAACTTCTTTGGCAGCCAACAATAGAATCTAAGAAAAACTAAGAAAAAGAAAGACAACTATTCAAATTAGCAATGCAATGTCTTTGCAATTACTTGAAAGCTAATCTTGGGTGGAATTTCTCCCAAAACTTAATAGCCCGGGGGGGGGGTTGAAATAATAATGTCCTGGGTGGAAAATTTTGGAAAAAATTAATTAGTGGGGAGCATCTATTAGGCACCAAAGTGTACTCATGCAAACATTTCACGAAAGAACAAAAGTAATAAGAGGCTCTGCCCAACGCAGGAACAGTCATTTTATTCAGGCTACCTCATGAAAAAAATTTTTCATTGAATCTTCACTATACACAGTGAATTTCAAAGGGAAGCCCTATGCTTTTATTTGGGGGCCTACATCTGAAATGATATGTAGGTTAGTACACAGGGGCCTATATCTAGGGGGCCTATAGTTGAGTTGATATAATATATATTTATAGTTAAACAAACTATCTACACAAAGGCTCTTGAAAATTTACTAAACAAGCAGCTAATGGCATTAATGACAGTGGAATTGTCCTTCCAATAAGCGATTTCACAGTTTTTGCCGCCATTATGAATTGCCAAAAATGGCGGACACGCAGCAAACGAGCAAATTACCGCAGAATTTCCAGTCAATTTTGTAGCTAGAATTGCTGATAAAATTAGGCAGTAATCAGCTAAATTGGAATTTAAATGTTCCTTTTTTACAATAAGCAACTCACAAACAGCGTTCCTTGTTGTTTTCCTTGTGATTTCACTGCTGACTTTGACCAGGCTGAAATCAGTCCCCTTTGACCTCTCGTACAAAAACTTCCGCTTTTCGATTCAAACCTTGGTGAAACTCGTTATTCCTAGCCTGTTTACAACCATCTTGAGTTGGACTCTCTTCATAAATTCACTTGACGCCAATAAAACCTGTACGAGACATCAAAACATTGTGACCAATTCTATGATCGTGACCTATTTCCTAAAAATGGTGGTATTTTGATTGTGGCTTGTTTTTCATGCATAAGATCTTGAATTCTGAAACCTTAATCCACTAACAGAAGGTCTCCAGGCCCAATGTAATCTAAGATCCCACATCTTTGAGTAATGGCAACATCATCAAGGCTTCCTTCATAGAAATCAGACACAAAACATGCACTCCCATTGGGGGTCACTGCAATCAACGCTTTGAAGGTAGTGTGGTGTTTGTATGAGGAATATAGATTTCCCTGTTTGGCATAGTCCCATTGGGTCTGGCTCCTGTGGGAAGCACCAATATGTCAGTTGATATTTAGCAGGACCCAAAAACTTAAAGATCAACCTGATCAGGATAAAGGCCTATAAAAAATTTAGACTTCTTTCTGTCAGCCAATATTACATTTGGGGACATAAGATTTAAATTATTCATTGTGCCTGCATCTTTCGAGTCTTTGCATCATTTCTTAGAATAACTGTTTCGATTTTCTCTCCAAGCACATACTTGTCGTAAATGGTTTGAGTGGAAGCATCTGATTTTTCTTGCAATTTAATACTCGCCACCTCATTCGACTTGTTTGACCCTGTTGCAAGAGCTTCCACTTCATATGCTGATATTTCCTCCATACTTTCTTTGGCCTTTTTTGACGCTGTGTTGTTCGCGTCAATACTGCGATCTTTTGGGTGTCTCTTTCTCTTCATCCTGCCTTCTGCTTCCTTTTCTGTTAATATTGCAAGAACTGGGTCTGAGTTTTCCTCTGTTGGACCCTGGCCGTTGAAAAAGTAGAGAAAACATATATATGTATCTTTCGTTATCTGTTCCAATTTAGAAAAGTCCTTCCTTCCACAAGCATGCAACCATTCCTTCGCACGCTCTGTTTTTATCTTGGCTTGCTCCAGCTCCCACTTTGTCATTCCTTCGTGGTGTCTTCCTGGCTTTGAAAATGGTAAAAAAAACTGTACCATCTGGCATTCGATCTGGATACCTAGAGTCGCTTTTACATACCCCCCAGCAACAATGCTTCGTTGTTGACTTTTTACTCATTGTTTAAATAGATTTGCTTGTCCGAGTCTTGATCCCATAGTGCACCGCGCCTTGACGTGAGAATCTATTTTAAGCTTCAGAGGAAAGCGCTATTCTTCTCGCATTTACTTTCGGATTTGTTTTTGAGACAGGAAGGGGAAGAGAGAAGGCAATTCATGAAACAAGAATTTGACCCAAGTAGTAAAAATCTTTGAAACATGTCCACTTGAGCTACCAAATCTATCTGCAAGATCATTTACGAATAAACAAACTTTCAGACGCATTAAAACCAAGACAAATTCTTCAAAGTAAGATAAACTCTATTTGGGACCAGATTTCTTGTGTTCATCTGGCCTGTCCGGCTTGTCTTTAGATACATCATGTGACTTAGATCCTCACCAATAAGAAATATTATCCAACTTTGGTGCCAAATAATCCAAAACAGATTCCAGAGAAAAGAAATTTTGAAACCCGGTGTAAAATTTGACAGCTCCATTATCATATTTCAACTTATGGATGGAGGAAAGTGACTTTTTTGCAATGGATAGTTTAGCATTCAATTCTGAAACTTTAACTGACAGTTCATCAATTTTCTGTTGGAGAGTGACATATTCTCTCATTGAAGATAAAGGAGGTGCATAGCAATGATCTGTCATAAGGTTAGAAGAGGAAGCATCATTCAAATAAACAGGCGTCTTGACAAAAGAAAGTTCGGTCTGAGTTGAACATGTTGAAAATAGAGATGACACCTTTTCAACAGTATCAGGCAAGGCAACATCTTCTTCTTCATTAAACTTCTTCTTCTTCTACCATGAAATCATCAAAGCCAATGCATCTCTTTATAAAATTACACCAGTGATTTTTTCTTGGATTGTTTTAAGGGAATGAAAAAAATGTAGGCTTGTCCCAGTACAGTCTTTGTTATACTGAAATTATAACATCCCAACGCTACGCATTGTATTCTTAATGATAACTTCTTCTTCGTTTGATCATTAGAATTTGCCTCAGCGTTATTTTCAGCCATAATGATAACAATTAAAGTCTGAAATTATAAACTAAGAACGACAATATGTCAAACCTCCACTGTTCACAGCTTTGGCAACTTTTCTTACAGCCTGACATTCAATAATTCTAGAGCGAACATCAGTTGTAAGCTTTTTCTGCAAGCAGAGGTCCCAAAGCTGTTGCAAGCTGTCAAACTGATCAATTATTTTTGAAAAAAATTGGCTCTTACAGTCCAATGGGTTGCACACAATGAAAAATGAAAAAAAAATGTTCACCCTGAAGCCAGATAAATTTTGTTAATTCTCTGTAAAAATCAGCATGATTAGAATAAGGTTAAGAAATTTATCACAAAAAAACACCAGGGGCTAGATTCTACCCCCCCCCCCCACTCAAGATAATGAATGGTTAATCCCGGTCTTTCGGTGCGCATTTTATCTTTCTCAAGGGAAACCCCTCCAAATTAGGGGTGGACAAAATTGTTATTTAAACATGTCATTCCTTTTTTGCTGGCCGGAGTTTGAGCCAGAAAATGCGTGATGACAAAATTATACATTAATAATAGAACCTGCGTAATATAAGTAATAATTTGTCTGCAAATAATTATAAAGCAACTATGCCAATAGCCTGGGCGCAGCCTCAAACACTTCTATCTCGAAGGGTAGAGTCTACGAATTGAAGTTAAGACATGTTCCCTGAGACAGCAAAGATCCTGACCTCATTTCCCATATAATTAAATGCATTGATTGAGCGGCATTTGCAGTTCAATTTATTCTTCAATTTCACGAGGCATTCAAACATTATCCTATCTTGTCAATGATGTCTTGCATTCATGCCTTTAAAAAACTATCCAAAACGGATAATTGTCGTGATTTTAATTTGGTGGATGGCCCTAAAAGTGAGTTCAATGTTGCAAATGTGTTGCAGGAGCTTGATGTTCTTGTCGAATTTAGGCCGGAATCGCTGTACATTTGTCGTCTCTGGTTGCTGCAGAAGTTAGATTCTGCAAGGAAAAAGGTAAACTTTCTAGCGCATCAAGCAGCAAAACATATTTGATGGTGTCATTCGCTGCAGCTTTCCTGTCAAATCTAGAATGACAAAAAAGCCTTGTTTTCCGACAGCAAGATTAAAAAACCTAGTCTCACAACAGTGGTGACAATACAAGAAGAAAGTCCTGATGGTACACGTCCAGTTGATCATTTCCATGATTATGCAACATTCTGGCTTTATGTTGAGTAATTCCTTTTTTTCAACTCAAGAAAGAAAGTATTACAAATCTATAGACAGTGAAATTAAAAGCTGTTGCCTTTATATGTATATATATATATTTATTGCCAGTTGCTCTGAAGATGGCCAGATAGAGGCCATATCTAGTCACAACTGAAACAAAAGAGCAAAAATGATCAATTTTGATGCCTTTTTCTTGAAAGAGTTTCTGCTGTAGGACACGGTCATATATCGCTTCAGGTCACTGGATTGTTTCATTACTGATGTTTGTAGTTGTTTCATTGTTCCCATTACTTGATTGTTTTGTTACTTGCATATATTTATAATACACTTTTTTCCTCAATAGGCATCTTTTTTGTGGCTGAGTGCACTAAGGTTGGCTGTTTCTCACACATTATTGTACAATAAATTGGATGGGTATGAGAGGGATCATTTGCGAGACATTAAAGAGAAGATTTCAAGGAGGGGGAAATGATGAAAAATTCAATAAGCAGTTCCTACTCTGGACGTAAGTTGATCATTGACCATTTCAACTTCAGCTCTGAACCTCACAAAATGACAGCTGAGAATCAAGAGAAAGTTGTGAATTGGGTAGGGCTCATGATTACAGAGACCCGGATTTTGGGAGATGACTTGCACTCACAACATCCTTCAATGAAAAAACAGGCCAAGTTGGAGAATAGTCTCTGTATACCAAGCAGTATGGAGCACAATCAGCAACGCTTGAATTACACTTTGTGGTCATTTGGCTATGGAGAACAGAAAATGTTTGAAACAATTGGAAAAAGTTGTAACTAACCACATAGCTCATCGATATTCCTCAAAAATGGGCATGCCAACTAGTTTAGTAAGTATTCATTTTTTTTGTGAATCATTTAATTTTCATTTCAGTTGGTTTAATCATAAGTGATGTACAGAGGTGCACCACCACACTGGTAGATATTTAAAATTTGAAAAATTAAAGTACATAGATATATTTTTTGAGCTTGTATTTAATATTTTAATACAAATTTATCGAGAGAGCTCATTATATATTTATTTATATTTACACGATTCAGTAGTTTTAAAGTATCATTACAGCTTTTCAACAAAGTGTTTTAATCATTGTAAGAAAATTTTTTGTTATTTATCTAGAAACCATCAAAATTATTTTTCTTTAAATGATAAAATTGAGTTCTGTTGAGAAATTTTTAACCACAGTGTTTTCTAATAATGTCCAGTGTTGTGTTTGAGATGTAACTTAATGTAATAAAAAGCAAACAACAAATTCTCTCTCTTGGTTCCAAGGTGTTCGCTGAGATGATTTATGAAGATGAAAATGATACAAGTGGAATGCAGAAGGTCAAGACTAAGCTGCATGGCTATGCTCCATGCAATGACAGTGTAAATCCAGTAGAGTTTGTAGAGCAAGGTGTTGTTGGGGACCAGCTTACTGTTGAATGTGGTGTTAGTTGCCTTTTTCAGCTTGAAAATTGTGTCACAGAAAAGGAAAGACTTGATGGTTTGTACCTTGAGGTGGCTGACTTTCATGCTGGGATGAAATTTTTACAGGTATGTATTGATCACACAACCCTTATTCTGAGTGAATTATTTTTGGGAGACCAATTACTCCGGATATGCTTTTAATGCAGATTAAAGTTAAAGCCAAGCTTCAAGCATTGATGCCGAAAGTTAGGAGATTGTACTACGCTTGTCTTTTGCTCTTTTTGTTTATCAAGACCACATTCTCATCTCATATTATATGTTGATTTCAGACATCAACTTCTGAGACTTTTAATAAACATAGGTTTGAAACAAGGTCAACCACTTGGTGAGGACGGAAGTCAAGTTGACGGGCCTACACAAAGTTTAAAAGCAACTCTTCAGGAATGAGATGAACCTCTAGAGAAGAAACAAAAAACTCAGTTTTAAAGCATTGGTTTAAGACCTCTTTTTATTGTACCAATGTTTTTTATGTTGCATTTTGTTGCTTTCGATCTAATAGGAATCAAGATTCCTAGAAAGTTCATTGATTGTGCACTACCTCTCAATTAAAGGTCCTCTGCAAGACTTGTTTATCATCTTTTTGCTTTTCCATTATTTTTGCTTATCTATTAATTTTTCAATTTTTGCATTTCTAAGTGATCAGAAATTTTTGCTTTAATCGTATGGTTGAAAGTTGATACAAATTTTTTCTACAATGTAGAAGTCTTCTATTCACTGAAAGCTTTTTTAGAAAGCTTATCTTCTTTCAACCCTTGTTCTTGTAAACTTGGAAAAGTGGACTTGAAATAGAGAGCAATTGCATCACATTTATAGGTTCGATACAATCTGTTCATATCTTTATTACTGACATGGTCTTCTTTTGGTTTTTAAGACCACAACAACAATTTGGTTTTTAACAGGAATTTGGTTTTTAAGACCACAACAACGCTCGATAGGCCTATATTCAGGGGCACAATTATCTGGCTTACTTTTTAATGTATATCACTCAAGAAAGCTAACAGTACCAATTTTTTTACAAACCTGTTTGAAATTTTCTGTATTTTTTATCATCTCATCTGTTGCTTGTCTGGATCACTTTCCTCTAGATATGGTTTTAAAATCATATTATCCCAAAATTTCCATGACAGCAAACGCCTCTTGCCTGTCGTTAAAGACTTTCAGAAGGACTTTGTGGATTCTTCTTGTAGAACAACATTTCGCTTTCAGTCATTCTGGCAGCTGCAGCTGTCGCTTCTTCTCTCATTGTTTCCAAATTATTTTCCTTATCGAATTCTGGTTGCCATGGTAAAGGGAAATCGTTTAGGTGCAACTTTCATTGAGAATCAACAAAGGCTGCCCTCTATTGCCATTAATATTTCATGGTAGCCATTGCTTATCTGCTGCCCAGTTCTTGTAAGTAATGCCAACCCTTTGAAATCGAATAGGAACCGAAGTGTGGTAACTGTTGGGCGAGTAGTGTATGCCTTGCAAAAAACACCTTCCAACTGCAGCAGCATGACAGCATTCTCTTTGTGCAGCTAGACTGCGTTTCTACTGGACATCTACTGGACATCTGTTGAAAAAAATCATTTCTGAATATGGAAAACAAAGAAAAGTACAGAAATCGTGTAAACCTACTTTTTTTGTTTATTTTTGTACACAGCAGTTCATAAACATATTTGTCAGTGTTTCAATAATCAACAGTGTAGACAAAACTTGGTTACACGATATTCTGGATAAAACTTGTGGATATAATTTCAAAATATTTAAATACACGTTTGGATAAGGTGTCCAGAAAAATTAAATCTCATCTGCCATAGCTATCTGCCAGTGGTAAAATAAAAAATCTGACTTTTTAATGTACTGTGGCAATATCTACCAACAATCTGTACAGCGTATTCATCACCAAATTTGAATGGTGTGCCTATTGCAAATATCACCAAATTTACAATTTTTTGTCATTAAATATAAAGAATTCAGCTGTAATTTTTTAATTTTTTGGAAAATAATAACGAAAGGTAACTTTGATTTTGAAAGCCAATGCGGAATATTACTTTTGGATTGATCCAGGGCTTCAGAAATTATCGAGATATTTTTCTTCGGGTTTTTTCACGCTTTAGCAATGTGGTGGTTATTGTCTTTCTGCTCTAGGAAGATATAAACATCATCATTATTAATTTCAATAAAAAATATTAAAATTTATCATTTTAATTTATCATTTCCAGAATGAAATTAAAAATACTTTGTCTGATCTGAATAAAATATGCTGGTAACGTCATAGGTATTACTAATATTATAGTGCCTAACTTACTGTTGCTGCTCAATGTGCTTTGTCTTTTTCTGAAGAAGTCTTTTTCTTCTGTCTGGATTTGTAGAAGCAGTAGTCAAACCCTTCAAAAGCACACAGACGCCACATTTTGTAAAACTGTCTTTTCCCTGTAAGATAAATACATCTAAAATATATATCTCAACAAAAGATACCAAGTATATGTACAATATTCACCTAAAAACAGTTGCCTGATGGTCGCATCAAGCTTCAAACTTGGAGTATCAACTTACAATCCTCCTGTTAATGCAAGAATTTAGTACAGATTTGGCTGTATGGCATCGAGGACTTAATGACAGACAAGTAAACAGTAATTTTAAAAAAATTCGCCCAATGTATTTTTTTTACTATGAAGATTGTCGACTGCATGTAAACTCGCAGGTGTATGCATAGAAAGAAATGAGTCTCAAAATCATTTCAAAGATACGCATTGTTTTATAAGAAATTTTCTGAGAATATTCAGGCTCAGAATCACCCAATCTTTACGAATATTAAAAGAATGTTGCTCGACCAAAGCTAACATATGTGTGTATTTGTGTCTAATTTTTCAGTATTCTGGCTGCTGCAGTTGTATGTGTTGCCATGTTTGTACAGGGAAATTGCATGACTGATATTGGTATATCTCTTTGTTTGAAAAGCGTGCTCTCTATTCGACCTTCCCAAGGAAATATGTTTCCGAAAAACTACATTTTAAAAATATGTGAAAACTTTATGAATATATCCAGGCTCAAAAGGTAATATTTTTAAGAGTATAGAGGTGGGGCAAAAAATTGGACTCCTTGCAAAAAAGTCTAAAGAATCTTGTGTCATGTCATGAGCCACATTTTTTAAACCCAAAAACCCATTTAGCCTTTGAGAATGAGTTTCAGCATCGATAAACAGAAGGTCTCATGTATTCTTACCTTTGAAATTTCCACATGCTTAAAGTCCTCTTTCCATAGTTTCCGGAAAGCTGTATATCTGAGGACTTGTTCTGCTTTATTGTCTGATCTATATGTGGTAACAGCTCCTTTCTAAAGAAACAGCATGGCAAGTATATTGTTTTGTCCTCATCCGAGAGAATTTCGCCAAAGCTGCACATTGTATTCATCCAATTTCTTTTACATATTCTTTACGCAGACATTTTTTACACCTTCTCTTGATCCTGCAACATTCAAGTTGAATCCGTACTTTCTCACAAGTTGTATGAGAAAGTATCTTCATCAAAGAAAGAAACCTTCAAGGAAAATTAAAGCAATAATTGATCACCATAATTACAACAGTAGACTGTATTTTATAAAAAATCAGATTATTTTAATTTCTGATAGAAACTAGGCTTTTTTCCCCCAGGTCATTGAGCAACCATGAAATAGACACCAAGTGCTACTGCAAACCCTCTATAAACAGTTTGGGCTCTAATAAAGGGGATCGCATTCTGGGTAATAACTTGTGATGTTAACCTTAGACGTGTTTACCCTCTGACAAATATCCTTCATTACTTTAGCTAAGAAGTTCTTACCCCGATCCAATAGCAACTTACGAGGAGCTGATTGTCGGCACAAGATCTCCTCAACAAATAATTTGGTGGTAGGAGAATCAGCATTCGTGAAGGCCATTTGGTAAAGTAATCGGTAAAAAATTACTACATATTTATAGCCACGCTGCAATGTTGAAAACAGGCCTAAAACATTTAGATCAAATGGTCCTTGACTGGAAAGTCATTAGCATTAAAAATCTTTACCGGGATCTCATTACTCACAAGCACGCAACAGATCTAGCAAGATAAATAAACAACCATTGCTTGCTATTTCGTTCCTAGGCTCGACCAGAACAGTACCCTGCAACCCAGAAATATCACCTGTGAGGAGTGCTTCGCTGCGAGCTGGAATTTCTAAGGATTCTGTAATGCATACCTGTACTTGGCTAGGACGCTTAACTACACTTATAGGAACCTTATCTAGCCCTATAGTAGCTTGTAGCGTAGACAGATCTACCTTGGCGTCAGATTTGACTCAGAAATCGGTCCCTATCAAGAATGAATAGTTTAAATTACCTGCAACATAACAGGCTACATACCAATTACTAGTGCCAAAATCAACTTCTAACATAGTTGTACCGATGATATCCAATTTCTCACCAGTAGCAGTTTTAGCTAATATTGAATTAGTTTAAAGTTCTAAAGGTGACTTAGCATGTTTATTGATCAAAATTAAAAGATCTAAACAAATAATTGATACACCTGAGCCAGAATTAATAATTATTCCGGTTCCAAAATTTTTGACATGTCCAATAAATGTTACACATTGTAATGGTTCATCATACAAACGACTATCCGAAGAAGACTGGGGATTGAACAATTTACTATCAGCTGCATCACGCCTCAAGGACGATGAATCGTGAGCAGCATTACTCAGTTTTTTTAATTTTCTCCATTTTATTTGTCGCTGCATACAGCCTCCACATCTCCTACTCTCTTACAATGATCACAAATTAGCCTTCCGTTACTGGACCTTAAATTCCTTTCCTTGTACCTTCTACGATATGTGCCTTTACCCCCAAATCAACGATTTGGGCGCTTGGAAACAAATAACTCAGAAAGAGTCATGGCAAGTTTTTCAACCACACTTTCTAAATGATCTATTTTTTCATTCAAATTTTGTTCCCCAGTTTTGTTCCCCCGTTTTGTGACAATAGCATTGCTTGGGTACAAAAATTTTTGCTCTACCCAGGTGGTGGATCCATTTGTAATTTGCTCGTGGATTTCTTCCTTCTTAGCCAAATCCAGTGCTTGCGTGAATGTTTTAGGGTTCGAAATTAATACCATACACTTTAAATCAGACCTAAGTCCATTCACAAAATGTTCATGCATCAGAGTGTCTTGATGTTCTAGGGGAATTTCAGCATATGCCCAAGGGACAAGCAGTTTTAAGGCCCGGCCAAAATCATCAACGGATTCTAGCTCGTTTTCCTTGCGTCAATATAAGTTAGGATAATAACACCTACGAGCTTCCCTACGTATACAATGTTTCATTAATGAGGATATAAGTGTTTCAAGGTCACTTTTACCCCGTCATGCAGCTCAACATAATATTCGGCCACTCTGTCCCATAAAAA